TTATTTTGTGTTGGTTTCAGGCGTGCAGCGTAGTGGTGAGACGATCGTCCTACCCTTCACCAAGTGCTCCCCCGATGTTTCTGGTACCCACCTGGCACCATACACAGTTATTACGGTGTTACTCCCTACGCTGTACTTAACACCCCCATGACTGTTTTGTAACTACCAATTTGTACTAATACTGCTGTTTTAATAGAGAAAAAAATAATCAGGCAAAGATCATGTCTACCTTAAATGCCTGTTTGTTTTTAAAGCATGAGTATGGTGGCCTTACTACTGTAAGAGAGCACAGCGCCCACCAAACAGGAGGCAGTAACACACTCTTTCTGGTATTTTATGCTTCCTACTAAGGTATTGATATTGCTCAGTAACACTGAATGGTAGATAAAAATCTGGCCTATTTGATATTTACATATGTGGGTAAAATTGAAAAAACCACAAGTTTTAGGACTGAATAATCACTTCAGAGGCACTGAGATCCATCACCAGTTTATTAGTATGGGGAGACTTGAAAGTTACCCCTGTGTGCAGGTTTTGCCTTAATCAGTAAGCCTCCACAGTAGCTGTGGCCTCTTTGGCACTTAGGTAACTGTGTGAATTTAAATATATCTGGAAGTATGGGTCTCCAAATGAAACGATTCTGTCCTGGAGCTACATTAGCGTGACTGATGCTGTGAAGGCCTAAAATGTACGAATGGCTTCCTGTTGCCAACAGAGTAAGTTCAAACTATTTCACACAATATATATTAGACATCTCTCTGTTCATAGTACTAGAAATAACTGAGCTTTTGTTCTTAAGAAACTAATGAGTTTTTATCTCATGGGCACCGTAAGTCATGTCATTGATTATGTTTCCTTTGCCTCTGAGGCTAAAGACTGCTCAGAGATACGTTGGTGACTTAACTCTGGCAAGTAGACAGAACCTCATGGCATGTGCTGGAATTACCAGCCACCTCCTTCCCAGCCTTGTTTTGTATTTTCTTCATCCCACAGCCTGCCTTTGATTTTGATTTTGATTTATCCTATATAACCAGCTTCCTGACTGACTCATAGCTTCCTTTCCATCCAGCTGCCTCCACCACCATTCCTTTCTTGCGTCTTCCATTCCCGTCTTGCTGAATGCCTTATTCCTCCCATGTTGGGCCATGCCGTGCCCTTTGCTAGAACAGTTCCTCTTGCAGCTCTCCCCCGTTCCCTCTTACTCCTTGTCAGTGTAGCTCAATCATCAGTCACAATCCTCCCTGGACGCCCTGTCCTTCACTCTGTGAAGCTGGCTGATCCCACCTTTGTGGCCCACTGCTCCTATTTAGGCTTCTGTTAGGGCACCTACAAAAATTTACTCACCTCACACGTTCACAAAACGGTCTGCCTCGGCTAGACCGTGGATAGGCGTCAGATGTTACTGCTCTTTGAATCCAGCGTGCCTTGCACACGATAAAGGAAGAAAGGATTGTATTAAGCAGTGTCAGAGGTGGTGAGTGAGTCACGATAAAATTAAAAAATGACCGTTGGACTTTGCAGTATGGAGGTAATTGGTGACCTTTGTCAGAGAGCTTTGGGGGGG